AGAAATGATAGGAGGACATTCCTCAATCCAATACATAGATTCGATAGAAGCCCTTAGTGCATTTTTGGCAAGCTTGTGCGCAGCTTCATTTGCTTTTCTCTTTGTGTGGACAGTTATGAACTGGTAGAAACCATGGCTAAGTAGTTTATGATCTTGTATCAAATCCCCAATCACCGAAAAATTCTCTATATCTAAGTTCAGTTGATTTATAATGCTTAGAGCATCTCCTTCGATTATAACAGAGGAGAACTCCATTTCTTTTGTAAACTCAATCTCCTTGATTGTAGCTAAAGCTTCCGCAACAATTGGATCTCTGACTCGCATTGTGGTAGCTAAGCATGCTCCCAATACAGACCATGTTTCATCCCTGATACAACTCTTATTCCGCATAGACTATCTTCTGCATGTAACACGCCATCAAAGTTTGTTTTGACAACTCCTGCCTTTGGTGCTTTCCATCTAACATCCTCTCTAACAGCACCACTAATAGTGGGTGTTTGAGTTTCTCTATATTCTTCCAGATATTTTCGAATAAATACTGCTATTTCTTTTGCTTTTCTACTCTCATTTCCACCCCTTTTATTCTCCGTTTTTGGCTGGGGCCCTTTTTTACTGCATTTAAGTTCCATAACCCTTTATCTGATGCTTTAACATTGCCTGGTTCCTCGCCACTAATCTCTTTATGTGATATACCTCAACCCTCATTCATTGACCCTTTCTGTATTAGATTTATGATTTGCTCTACGTCCCACTCTTTTCATCGTATCATCTCCTGTTGGTCCTTCGCAAGTCCTGCCCTGTTCCAGTTTCTTTCCAAATCTGAACTGTAATCTTCCTCCACCACTTGCACATCAGCACTCTTCTTCTCCAATCATTGCTCCATGTTTCGATCTGGCTAGTTTCGCTACTTATCCACCACTGTTTTTTTTACATAGAATGGACTGAAGCTGTTGCTATATCCTCTTCTTTTAATCGGTGATGCCCTCAACCAGTCACCATATTGTAGTATTTGGTTACTTGTGGTATTCTCCTCCATCTGACAATCCATCTCGATATGCCCCAGCAATCCACACCTATAGCAAAACATTGGTAGCCTCTTATATTTGAGTTATCCCAATACTTTCCTCCTATTTTCGCCTCCTGATCTCACAGCCCTTCACAGTGGTTTAGTAATGTTTATTTCCACCCAAATCCTCAGGAACCTAGCTCATCCTCCCATATCTAGGAAGCCATCTATAGTGATCAACCTTCTCAATTTCCTGTCAATACATTCCACTGTATCTTGGGATCTCATCCGAAGAAGGAGATAATAAACCCTGGTCTAGAAAGGAATATTAGTAAACTAACACTATGTTTAGATTGAAGGGAGAAAAATTAAAATTAAAATTAAAATAAAATAAAATAAAATAAATATTTTATTTGGATAAATTTTTAATTAAAAAAATAAAAAGAGATAAAAATTCAATAACTTTTAGTTTCTCTTATAATTCACATTTTTTTTAATATCTTAATTTAAAGGAAATCTAAGAAAAAAAGTTTAAAAAATTTTTATTTTTATAAAAAACTTATTATATCTATATTTTTATTATGACATTAGATTTGATTATATAACAATATGTTTTACAAAGATAATTTTCTTTTATGATTATTTTATATAATATCATAACTTATAAATATTTTATAATTTTTTAAGTTTCAATAACAAAACAAATTAAATTATTGTCAAAATAAATTAAAAAACTAAATTAAATATAAAATTAAGAGTAAATCAATATCTAACTAATATATCTTATCATATTAAATATGCTTAATTTTGTTCAAAATAATTTGTTTATACAATCTAAATAATATAAAAATATATTGTATATTATATGTTACTTTATAAAAAAAATATTATAATAAATTATTTTTTTACTATCTATCCAAATAATAATTATTAAAAAATTTTATTAATTTTAACTATTTAAAAAATATTTTTTTCCTTAAAAATTTTTTTTATTCTTTTATTAATATTTATCTAAATATAACGTAATACTCTACTAATCTTAAATCACCATTGTACTCTTCCAACATTAAGAGATGTTTATAAAACGACCATGGAGATCCTTCGATAACCCTTTTCTTGTCGGCCATTGTGGCAAACTTAATTAAGTTCTCCAATATACCACTGCCTGCGTAAGTCTCCACACTATTCTGAATTTATTAATCATAGACTCCCTGTTGAAAGGCCTCGAAATATGGATCTTTCACATCATTCACTTATGTTCCTCAGCCGTTGTTGATGTGAAAAATCTATCACTTCACGCCATCCATTTCTTCTTCGGTGAATGTCGAGCGTTTCCACAACCCATCCAGCTCTTCCGTCATATCGCTTCGCAATGCCAACTCGACCTTATTCCTCTAAAACTGAACTCCTCTAGACCCCCCCAAAGACCAATTTGGAAACTAATCCCAAAGGAAAGTATTCTTGTAGCAAACAAGAGTGAGACATCCTCCTATACAAACCTAGTTTCCAAGGAGACTTCTTAACTGAAAAAACCTCTTGTCCATTAGCCTTTTCTTTTTTTTTTTTCATATATAATATTTAAATTATAAGTCAATGATACTTTTGAAGTCAAGCACTTAAAATTATAATCAAATTATATCATAAGTTTTTATACCCTACCAAAATTTAAAATTTAGCATTTATATAAATTTAATTTTTATAATATTTTAATTTAATAATTTTAATCCAATAATTAATAATTTTTTTATCTTTAAAAATAATAATATGATTGTTGAATTAACGATGCAATGTTGATTTTACTAACATAATAATTTGAATAAATAAAATCAATTATTAAATTATATAAATAATTTTTATATTTATAAAAAAAACTTAAAATTTAATTATTTTAATTTAATTTCATAAAAATCTCATTTTCGTACAAATTAAATTTGATAATATTGATCCAATTATTAATAAAAATCATATTTTTTAAATCAAATTTATTTTTTTAAATCAATATTTCGAATTTTTAAAATTTTTTAAATATTTTTAAATATTAAATTTCATATTTTAAAATTTAATATTTTTTAAAATCATATTTTTTTAATTTTTAAAATCGGATTTTTCGTTTTTAAAATATTACTTATTTCGAATTTTAGAAATTTTTGAAAAATATTAAATTAACTTTTTTAAAAATATTAAATCCTAAGTAGAGGAGGGTAAGTGGAGGTGGGAAGAAGGCAAAATGTTAGAAATGGTTGCAAGTTGTGATGATGAAGAGGTGATTGAAAACTGTAAAAGATGATAGGGGCAGAGTGGATTACGTTGATGCCATAGTAGCAGGTAACTATCAGTTCATAAATTTCTCTTATTTGTTTGGGTGTTTGATTTCATTTTATGGAATATGGGGGTATGGGTTGATTATTGATTTGTGGAGAGGGGTGAGGATGAAGATACTGTCATGGAACATTAGAGTTTTTGGGGTTCAGCAAATTGTGGGATTCTGAGAAATACGGTCAAATGTCATAATGCTAGGTCTTCCTTGGAAAAGAATACGAGAGTCATGGAATTGGAATATTTGATTTCAGTGATTTTATAAATTTTTGTGAACAAAATATCCCTCTCAATGGGAAGAGTTTCACCTAATTTGGATCTAGAAAGGAATGTATGATTACATGGGGGAGTTGGTATTGTTGGCTGCAATTGGTTGGTTGATCTGCCCTTAATAGGGAGAAACTTATTAGGAATGGGCATGGTTGTTAAAGAAGTTGTTTAACAGATTGGTGAGATAAGCATGTGGTGACGGAGCTGGGATTGAGGAAGTTGTCTGAGCTGAAAGTTGCTGGGTGGGAGGTAATTTTTCTATGGAAGATCGCAAAGTTGCTATTTGGGAGGGTGAGGGGTCGAATGCACCTGGACCTAATGGTTTTTACTTTTTCTTTTTTTTCTGAAAAGCTTGATGCATTTTGAAGGATGATCTGCTTGTTTTTCTTGATGGAATTACATAGCACAAATATCCCACCGTAGAATCTATGCCGTTGGTTTAAAATGATGGGGGAATGTGCATATAATGTTACATTTAATTGTCAATTGTTTTATCTTTTATGGTGTAATTTTCTTCTTTGGTGGAGTTTGAAATGGTGTCAACTGCAATCATTGTTGAGTTTTATGTTGAACTGTTTTGTCTTCCCATTTTATGGTGTTATGAAATCTTGGTAGCTTGCTTCTTACGCAGCAATCTTTTGATCTATTTGGTTGGCTGTGAACGAGGTAGTTTTTTAGCAGAAGTGTTGGGAAGTGGATGAAGGCTTGTTTTTGGTCATTGGAAGGCCTCTTTCTTGGATTAAAGTGATCAAGGACAATGTGTTTATACCAGACTCTATCCTGTGGATTAATCCAGGGGCTTGTCTTCCTAAGTGTGCTGGTTTTGTTAAAAAGACCATTTTTGTGTGGATCCCTCTTCCATCAGATTCTTTAAGTTCAATGTAAATAGGTCTGCTAGGGGAAAGTCAGGGCATATAGGGTGTGGTGGGATGCTGAGGAACGTGGATTGGCAGGGAGTTCATGATTCTAAAATGGCTAAACTGCTTGCCATTAAAGTTGCTTTGGAGGTCTTCTGATTGGAGATAAGGCTGGTTTAATTATTTGAGTCTGATTCAAAGATTGATGTTTATTGGTGTATTAAAGCAGAGGCTTGACCATGGAAACTTTGGGAGTGGTGTATTGCTCTAAGTTGTTTATGGCATCATGGTGATTGATGGATCCGTTATCTGGTTCTTTTGTTGTTGGGTGTGTTCCAAGTTAGAAACTTGAGGTGGTTAGTATCTGTTGGATGAGTCTTCTGTGAGAACCTTCTTTTCTCCCTTGTACTCTACGTTTCCTGCTTTAATAAAATTGATTGATTTAGCAAAAAAATTTTCACAATGCCTGTGAATTTCTTGACACGCTATAGACTTGCGTTTGAAACCAGGACTTTACACTGCAAATTGGCGTAAAATTTCTAACCCTTGTATTTAATCTGAAGTGAAAATTTTTTATATTCGATTCAGAGATTCTATTTACATCACTTGACACTCTCTCTCATTATGGTCTACAACTCTTCCTGAAATGGCTGCAGCAAGCGCTGCTGTGAAATTAAGGTCTCTAGTCAAAGAAGCTGGCATTTGTTGGACTAAAATCTGTTGGATAGCTGGTGCATCAATTTGTTGGGATGGCTTTTTGGTATCGTCGCCTAATCCAGATGGTTGCATCAACTCAAGAGTCACAGTGGCAGCTGAAGATTTTGTGGGGGCAGAAACAGGAGCTGAACGAGGGTTAGCACTGGAGTTGGGGCTTAATGATAATTCAGCTGGAGAATGGTGTGCGTGGTTGTGCTCTCCTTCGTACGTAGCCACCAAGATCGATGGATCTTCAGCACTTCTTTGCACCTAAAAATGATCAATTAATAGCAGAAACAAAAATCAGAGAGGTTCCCTAGCTACTGAAGAGACTATCAATATACATATTCATCTCATCACAATCTTAAGTCTAAATGCTGCCAAGGAAGATTAGGGAAGAAACATTGACTCACTTTTTTCTTGACCGGACAACTTGGGGCAAAGGAGCACTTTAAGTATGCTCTGGGAAAGGGGTTATCTCTTGTGACCTTTTGACCATATTTTCTCCATTGATATCCGTCCCTCACGATCTGTAATGCAGATGAATACAATTATATTCAAAATTCTTAGCACTTGGAAGGAAGCTAATTAATTTCCCAAACCCTAAACTTTTGGAACCGACCAGGCTGTTATCAGAAGGATTTATGTGCACGTAAACAATTGAAATCTTTGCCTTAATGCACTCCTTGGGCTTTTTATATGACTCTGCATCACTACAGGTGCTCCCAACGTTTCCACTAAATCCAATCATGTTGGTATAATCCTCACACTCGGCTTTTCTCTTCCTTGATGTTGCAGCTTCATTTCCAGAATTCTTGCTCACCAATTCCATGAATTGGTTCTGCAAAGAGTTGTATTGCTCGCACAGAACTGTTAGCATTTCAGTTAGCTTCTTGTTCTCACTGCTAATCCGATTCAATTCCTCCACCAAAACTCCATTCTGTTTACAACAAAAAACAATCACTATTGAAGGAGAATTAATGGTTGCTGGTACCAAGAAAGCTCCAGACAAAGAGACAGTCTAAAAGTACTTGCTCGTAGGATATAGTATATACGAATTGAACAGAAAATTGTATGGTTCCCAGGGTTAATCGTCATTAAAGTAGCATGAAATGTTAGATGCAAAAGAATAAATGATTCAAAAGATTAGTCATCACCAAAGAGCGGGTGCCTAAATTATGCCTGCTGAAAATGCTGTGATGCAATTATATGTTGTAGGACAAGAAGGGGAGAAGAAAGGGGCTGTTGGAAGGAAGAAAAGCAAGGGAAAGAACAAGAAGTAGCAATCAAAAACAAACTGAACAAAGGCAATTTGATTCTGATTTACGGTAGCCGGTATGAATGAACCAGGAACAGAAAGCAATCTTATTTGGAATAGACTAGATATCTAGGATAATCAAAAAGGCCAATTTAAGTTCATGGAGACAATTGACTTGTCCTTAAACTGACCTCTTGTTTGACTGGTACCTTCACATCGCAGTCAGCCACTTCTCTCTGGGACTCGGATTCCCTCTTCTGTTTCAGAAAGTTTAAAAGTTTTCGTAAGTCCAACAATCTAAAACGAGAAAAATAGCTAGCCTATCCTTCTCAATTGATAATCCAAACTCACCAGAACTTTGTTTCTGTGATGGAAAGGATTGATGTTGAGGTCCAGATTGGTATCCACACAAGATGATTCCATCACTGAAATTGTACTATAGAACAAAAAGAGAACAAGAAAAGCAAGCAAGAAAGAAAGGGCAGGTAAGCTGAAGCTAAAGAAATGACGAGGATTCTCAAGGTTGTCGAGGGAATGAGAGAGTAAATATATAGAAGACAAAATTCAGAAGATGTTTCAACGGTTTGGCTTGGATTAATTGTTATCGGAAGATGAGGCTGAAATTAAAGCCTTCTCTCACAGACATCCCACTTGGAATCCTCTCTTGATAAGCAGTCTATATTCATTATACAAATTAATAAATTAAATTGTTAAAGATTTGCTTTTGAGTTTTTATTAATAGAAATAGAGTAAAATAGAGGGCTGGGGGACATAGGAAATAAGAATGTCCTGCAAGGCGATGTGAAGGTGAAGCCCCACGCGAATGAGATTTATTGCTACATCATACTTTTTGAACTCAGGGCTAAAAGAAGCTTCGTCTTGTTGACCTTATTTTATCCGGTCGACTTTCTCGCTTTCACCCGCCTTTGTTTTGTGTCTGCCCCCTCTTTCCAACATTTTTCTTTTATTTTTTTTGTATAATAATAATAATAAATAATACTGATAGACACGATTTCGCCACATGCGCCCACGTGTTTTTTATTTAAAAATTTTTTTTTAAAAAAATTTTGTATAATTATTTTATTATTGAATCAAATATTTAAATGCATAAATGATGTTCTTTATATTAGCTTTTATCTTATAAATAAAAATTGGAATAAGGTGATAAAAATTTATACTAGTAGGAGAAGACAGAAAATGTTGCTTTTTTCCGCTTTTTCTAAGTTTTCAACATACTAAAATTTTTTTTGTGTTTAATTGAAAAATGATTTGGGTAACCAATGTGAAGATGAAAGGGCATACATGCATTATTACAAGGCAACAAATATTAAACAAGATAATGCCTTAGTTGTTCACATATATTATAATTTATTTGATAAGAAATGCTATATTGTTTCACATAATTCATGTAAACATGATATATAAACGTTCTTAACTAAAACATGTGTGAAATACTAATTATAATACTTCCAAGAAAATGATTCAATAATACGACTTGTCTATATCTGCCTATTTGTGCTTTTTTATTCCCATTTCCAAAAATTATTACAATTATTTTACTAATTACCTATGGGAAATTTGAATAATTATTTAATCTTCATGTTATTTTCTTCTTTTTTTTTTTATTTCGTGTGTGTATATATATATATATAAATCATTATATTAGTATAATTTTTTTAATGTAAAAAATAATTCTAAGAAAAGGATGCATTCTTCCCTTATTATTAATGGAATAAAATAAATATAATCTTTTCTCTAAAAAATTCATCAAAAAAGGAGGTATTCCAATCCAATGAAATTATAGTGTTTATTTTTTGTTTGATGAAAAAAGTATTTTCATGAATTTATCTTGGTTATCGTGTTCATAATGTCATATTGAATGATCCTAACCGACTATACCTTTTATTCATGAAATTAGAATAACTGGAATGGATAATTCATAATTGTATTTGCATTGTACAGATATTAGAATATTTTGAGAGTTGACGTAAGAAGGAAGAAAAGGACAAGTAAGAGTTAAATTATCCTTGTACTTCCTTGGTGTTCGTCTCATCGAGTTTGACTCCTCAAAAGCCAAAAGGTTAAAGCCCAAAACGCCCACACGGTTTGAACGTTGCGCTATACCTTTTTTGTCAAACTAACCTAAACTTCCGTTCGCTGTCTGTCCCCTTTCCTAGTTATGCAGCATGGACAACCCAATATAATTAGTATTTTGAATATGATTGCTCATTGGGGCATCTATTTCTTTTTTCATAAATCCAATTTTAAGAAAATACAAAAGTTCTACTATTACCTCTATGTGAATTTTAGAATTTGAGGTTGCCAATATATTAATAATATCATAAAGTTTTATTTCGAAAAGTTAAGTTTTAATGGATAGAGTGAAAAATAGAAAAATGAAAGAGGGTATGTAAAAAATAATTAAAAAAATTCCTTAATGTTTGATAAAAAGGAAATAGGGGTACCAAATAAGTTGGATGATCCATCACGATTTGATATAATATAAATCATATTTTATACAATTTATTTTTAAATAATTAAATTTGGTAAGTACAATATATATATATATATATATCATGTTGAATTAAAAAATTTTAAGTTTATGAATTGATATACTTGTTAAAGGTTTGGTCAACTCATGACACGTAGGTTAATATGGTACAAAACATAAGCTCAAACATGTCACGCTGATCCCTTACCGAAAGTGGACTCTTAGTCCTTAAGTATATTTATATTATTTTTATATTATAATGAAATTATACTGACTTTTGATATTTTGTTAGTGTTCATAGTTGTTATAAGTGGGTTTTTAACCTTTTAATGTATTTATATTATTTTTATATTATAATAAAATTATATTTACTTTTTATATTTTATTGGTAATTTATAAAATAAAATTATATTAAAATTACTTACTAAATATTTAAATTATTGATAAATAATCTATATATAACTAGTGATTAGCAAGAATAAAATGATAAAAATAAATTAAGATTTTAGGTTAAGTACAAATTCAATTAACAAAGTAAATTATTATAAGATAAAATATATAAAATAGATGCACAACACAACACATTATATAAGTGAATCATCATATGATAAGAATGAAAAATATAATAATAATCGTGTATTTTATAATATCTTTTATATGTATGTGTGTGTTTTTTGAAATATTAAGATTATAATTTTAATTTTTTTTAGTGGATTCTATATTTGTTAATTTTTTTAGTGGATTCTTGTAGCTTTCTCATTTTGTTAGTTTACTTTTCAAATTTTTCATTTAAAGGATTTCAAGTTATTCATCATTTAGTGCAATAAATAAATTTATATAATTATATAATAAATAAGTAATTTGTTAAAGTATTTAAATGAATACATAAAATAATATGTTAATATTTTGATTCAATAAAATTTTCAAATTTTAAATGTCAAATAAAATTAAAATGTAATTATTAATTTATTCATATATTTTTAAATTAATATCTTTAATGAAAATTTTCTATTTTCATCTTATCATCCTGTTTTTATCAAACACATTTTTTTCATCGTTAATTTTAATCACATTGTTATAATTTTCAATCATACTACAACTGCTATTTTTATTTACTCAAAATTAATTTTACCGTTTATTCAAATGAATTCGCAGTCTGATTTTATAATTTTATTTTGTCTGTCATGTAATTTCTATGAATTAAACAAATGCTGAAATTAATTGGAACTTACTAAGCACTTAATAAACAAAGTTGAAGTGAAGTCAAGCCAGAATTTATATATGAAAACCATGAATAAATGGACTTTTAAGGAGATTACTTAGAATTTACCTTTCAACAGAGGGAGGCAGTGAAGAAATAATCAATTTGGTCATACGTGAGGTCATTAATTAAGATAATTAAAGATAAATCTAAACAGGGAATATATATATATATATATATATATATTATCCCGAAATTTGGTTGTTTTGGCTTTGCTGGAGATCGTCCAGATCGTGGCTTATTGACCAAAAATGATGGGTATTATTATAATATCCCGCGAGCCAAAAATTTTAATCACACACTTGTTTAATTCACGACATAGTTGGAATGAGAATTTAATTATGAGTGCATTTGGATAGATAATTTTAAACTTTTTAAATGAGATTAATATATTTTAAAATATATTATTTTAAAACGTAGTATTTGTAATTGTTTTGTTTAGAAAAAAATTAATCCATTGAAATTTTATAAGATTAAAAAAACAACTCTAAAAATAATGATATTTAAGAAAAAAATTCATATATAAAAATATGAAATAAGCATCATTAAATTTGTAAAAATATATAAATATTACTAATAATACAAAAAATAAATTATATTAGAGGTAAATAAAATAATATTTTACTTTTTAAGTTTCATGAGCCATGTGGAGTAATGTACGAGGAAATTTGGAAACTTTTTCAAAAATCACTTTCTTAAGTGAAATTTCAATAAGAAGTTTGAAGGGTTCAAATCCCTCTTGAAATTTTAATAGAAAATTTGAGGACTTCAAATCCCTACTTGAAATTTTGAAATTCTCTTTTTCTTTTATCAAAACAAGTAAATTCATTTTTAAAATTTTAAAAACCTTAATTGAAATAAATCTTTCCTTCAAATCTCCATCCAAAAACACCCTGGAAGTTTTACATTCAAATTCTAGTTCTTTCATTTTTATTAAAAAAAAATAAACTTTATTTTTTAGGCCACCATCAATGTTTAAATTTGCTTATATCTTTAATTCCAAGTGCATACATAATCAGATGAACCAAAATTATAATTGTGAAGTTAACTTTGTGTAAATTGAACACTTTTTTATGTAAATCAATAACTATCATTGTACTGCTTTTTAATTATGGAATCTTATGATGAAATGAAAACTCGTTTATTCAATAATATTATTACTTTTGTCTTTCAAAATTAATTAGTTAGTTAACTAGTGAATTTATTCTTTTGTAAAAACAAAATATAACCGTAGAGCAATAGGGTGTCATGATGTCATAATCAAATATTTAATTTGAGATAGCAGTTGTATTTTCAATCGTGTCGTGTTTATGGCAATTGTAAATATAACGAAAATTTTCGCGATCATTACGGTTATTGTGATTGTGATTTTTTTTTATTTTGCTTAACTTATTATAAAATATAATAATTATAATTATTAATCATAAAAACTCTTCTTTTATAATTTTTAAAATAGTTATATCATGTCATATCTTTTATCTATCTAAGAAAAAAATTTATAATTTTTTTGAGATTATAGCTAAATATTTATATTTCAAAAATTACTCATATGGTAATTAAAAAATAATAAGAGATAAATGAACATGTGAAAAATAGATATCCATAGTAAATGATATATTTGATTCTTTAAATATCATATACTTATCAAGATATTGTCATATATATTATGCAAAATCATTTAATAAGTGATTAGACATCCATAAATTAAGCAAATAACATGATTTGATTTTGACACACACTTTCCATTAATGTTTCTTTTTGTTTATGTACTTTACACATTGTCTTCATTCATGGCTAGTTTCAGGAAATTAAGCAAATGTTTTAAGTACTAATTAGTTTAATGCCACTTTTAAGTAATAACTTTGATATATCTTTTTTCTCAAAATTTCACAAGTTGAAATGTCTATCATTATCTTATGGAATTAATTAACACTTCTTTTTCTATTAAAATAATTAACAATTTTTTTTGTTTCCAAGGAAAATTTCCTTCTAATAAAGTGTCTCCTAAATAAAAAATTTCTTCTTAAAACTAAAAAATGAAGCCTGTTATATTACCCCTAA